AATGGACAGAAATTGACAGATGAACAGTCGGACGGATAAATGGATGTATGGTTGGATGGATGTGTTGATGAATAGATTTATCGATGAATAAATGGATGAATAAAAGGACAGATGAATGGGTGAATGGACAAATAAATGAATGGTTTCATGGGTGGGTGGATAGGTGGGTAGGTGGATGGATGGATGGATGAATGGATAGATGGATGGACACCTGGATGGATGGGTGTATGGATTCATGAGTGGATGAGGGAATAGGAAAGAAGATGAAAGAATAGGTAGACTTCTATGTTGATAGAAAAGTAAAGATTAATTAGGTCATAGGTCATTTAAATCATCATTACTTTCTCCATCATAAGGTAGTAATGTTGGCATTTCTTCTGACGTTCCTCTTTCATCCCGTTCTAGATCTACAAGTTCACAGGACACTGAAGAGAGAAACAAAATATTGACAGACAATGAGAGTGACCTGGATCTACCTGGAGGGGGGTCATGTCCACAGTGCATCAGAGCTCTGCTGCTCAGAACTGCTTCTTCAGAATAAAAGCATTTTTGCACCAAAAAAGCTTTGCTCTGCACCATGGAGCACTCTTAGACCTTTTCGTCTTTCTTCTCCTCTCTCCTTCCCCCTTTACTTCTGCTAACCCTGATTCTACACATTGCTGACTCTGTACCCTAAAGCTATTCATGCATCTCTTTGACTACGTTTTTCTGTTCCTGACCACTACCATCTCTGCATTTCTGTTTTTTCTTCCCTGGTGATGTTCTTTACCTCTTGACTCCATTACCTCCCTTTTTATTCATTGAACTCACCTCCTCTTTGTCTTTCCTATACCTAGTATTTCATTCTTCCCGTGCAAACCAGGGGAGTAAGATTAAAATTATCTTTCTCTTCTCAAACCCCAAGCTGGTAGTGTTTAGATTCCATATACATTTAGATAAAATGAAGCCCACTTAGGCAACTCCATTTGGTGCCCCAACCTACAATTTTTTTTTCTGTCCTTAAATTCTACATCAGGGGACCGTCCACTAAGGCACTTAGCCCTCCTTTCCCCCTTGCCTTTCACATACGTGGGGAAGAGAGGCAGAGAATGATGAATATTTGTATTGAAAAAGAGAAAGGGACGTGTCTCTTTTCCACAGCCAGACAAATAGATTTAATGAGCTGATTAGTCATTTAAGCCACAACAACCATCCCCATCATCCGCCAGCAGGTCAGGGAGATCTTCGCAATTGCCTCCATTGGTCCTGTGGAGTTTCTTGCTTACAGAGAAACACGAAAACAACCAACCAGACATGGTGACCACAAAACAGACCTTTGTGAGATCATGCTGATTTCTGGTGTTCAGCACTCAGGTGAGCTTTCTTGAAAAAAGGTACAGTGCTCCAAGGACCTCACCTAAGATCTCACACACCCTTGCTCTTCCTCTATTCCTTCACATTTCCACTCAGACTCAGTCACCTCCTTTCTCCTGCACATTTTTCTGTCACCACACACTGTTGCTTCTATGCCATGAAGGATCGATTGGTCATCTCCTTGAGGCCCTGACTTCCTTCTTGGTCTTTTACTTCATTGCCTTTCACTACTCTTTATCACTTTTCCTACTCGTGGCTCTGTTTGTCTTTCTAGCTCAGTCCTGATCACTTGCATCACATATGGCAAGTCCCAGACCTACCATTTCTCTGCTCTACCCTGCTCTTGCCATCAAAATATGTTCGTCGGATGACAGTCTCCTATCACAGAGCCCTGATCCACACCCCAGGGCATCTACATACTTTCTTGGGTCTCCTGCGATCCAGGTGATCCTGGCTGCCCTGAACCCCTGTAAATCCCACATGGTCATTGCCACAGTGAGTCCATCCACTTGCTTGAACAATTTCAACTGGTAAAAGACTCATATACACTTCAGATAAAAATACATCTTGTTTGCCAAAATTTGTTGAAAAATTATGTGACATAATACAAAATATTTGACAAAAATTATCATTTAGATTTGAGAGCAGTGGACGGGAAGGACTGTGTTTCTTTTGAGGGTTTTCCAAAGTTAGGCACAAAATAATTCATTACGAAGAGAATAATCATTAGTTTTTATTCTCTAGAGGAGATAAAGTGAGTGTAGGTATACATTCCAAGTCTTTATTATTAATAGGTGTGAAAGACAAGCCATGTCTTAGGCATGTTTGTATTAGAATATGCACTTAGAAACATTTATGTGACTCATGGGATTCCAGATACACTAAATGTTTGACTGTGGAGAATGTTCAGAGTTTAACACATCGGGATACACCAGTTCTGAATTCAGCCACCTGACACCTCGTAGTCCAGGACTGACAATCCCTCTTCCTTACCTGCCCCAGACCCCAATGAGGAGCTCGAGACTTCCTGAGGCTCTTCTCCATCACCAGGTTCACAACAGGCTTTGCTGTCCTCTTCAGAAAGGAATGAAATCTCATGAGCATCTCAATTAGTGACCAAAAGGAAATCACCCCAAGAAAATCATAAGACAACCAAGAGAGCCTGAGAAACTGGAATGGCCCACTCTGCAAAACAATCTGACTGAAGTTAGCTTTGCTTCAGTGGCTTTCACTGGAGACCGAAAACGATTCTCCTATCAGGGGAGATTTGGCTTTTCCTACACCTCGTTCTCTTTCCAAATCCTCTCCCTTCATTCAATTCTGTAGATCGTTATCGATCTCTGCCTCTGTGACTCTCTGCTGATGTTTCTTGGATCCTCTCTTTCTCCTGGTGAGTTTCTCTTTTCTTCTCTGTTCCTACAATGTTTTCTCTTGCTTCCTATGATACTGCTCTTTCTTTCCTATCTTTTGGATCTCAATTGTTCTTTCCAAGTTTCTCTAAAGAAAGGCCTTCCTGAGACAGTAAATTTTACGCAGGATTTAACCAAAGTGGAGATGAAAATGAAGGGAAGTGGAACATTAAAAAAAAAGTTCTCAATTAGGCATGTGAGAAGACTCCAATATGGAAGAGAAATTTAACAATTAAAATTATTGAGGAAGACCCCAGATGCCCTCGCACACCTGTTAGAATACCTGTTATCAACAGAACAAGTAATAACAAGTGTTGGAGAGGATGCAGAAAAAAATCTGCTGGTGGGACTTCAAATTGGTGTAGCCACTATAGAAAACAGTATGAAGGTTCCTCAAAAAACTACGAATTGATCTACCATATGATCCAGTAATCCCTCTACTGTGTGTTTACCCCAAAGACCTGAAAACACATATCTGAAAAAAGATATTTGCACACCGATGTTCACAGCAGTATTATTTACAGTTGCCAGAACATGGAATCAACCAAAGTGTCCTATAGCAGATAATTGGATAAAGAAGCTGTGCTTATGCAATGGAATATTACTCAGCCATAAGAAGAGATGAAATACTGCCTTTTGCGACAACATGGATGGAACTTGAGATAATAATGCTAAGTGAAATAAGTCATACAGAAAAAGTTGAAAACCACATGATATCACTTATATGGGGGACATAAACCTAAAAGTAACAAACGACAGGACAAACAAACAAAGACTCATGGACATGGATAATAGACCAGTCGTTATCAGAGGGTGGGGGGGAGGTAGTTGGGGTAAAAGGGGTCAAATATGTGGTGGCAGAAAGAAATCTAACTATGGGCAATGAACATGCAGTGCAATATATATATATGACTTACTGCTAAATTGTACACCTGAAACTTACTGGATTCTGTTAAAAATGTCACCATAAAAAAAAAAAAGACTTTTAAGAAAAAAATTATTGGGGAAAAAAGTTTATTCTATCTTGAATAGTGCAGGTGGCGAGGCTGGAAAAATAGCCAGATAGGTGGCTCATTATGGATGACCTGGGATCCCACCGAAAGAAATTTTTAATTAATCATTAGTGTATTAAGAAGGTAGGTAGGAAAATAATACAATCTAACTTTCATTTCCAAATGCCTCATCTAGTTGAAATGCAAATAAGTCATTTGACAGGAGCAAGATTAGCAGGAAGAGAAGAGCAGGTGGCTGTTGCTCTGAGAACCATGACGGAAATCTAAATTATGGACTTGGCCTTGGGGAAGTGACAGTAGGATAGGTGGGGAACACTGTGAATGAGAAACGACAATGGTAAGTGAGAAACAAGATTGTACTTAAGGGCAAGAAGAGACATAGACGACTCCCAGGATTCTAACTTAACAGTCATCCCTCACTAAAAAAAAATGCCGAGCAGGGGTTAGATCTAGCTTGAGCAATGAAAATGCTTCTTTTAGTTCTGGATGTGCTAAGTTCAAGGTTCTAGAAAAATTTAAGTGTACATCTCTCTCACAACCCTGGTTCTCAGGTCCATGGACAAATGGACTCTGCAATAATCTGAGTGGAGATTTGGTCTTGGAATCACTGGAATCCTCAGAAAGAGTCCTGACATGATCTGAGCATTTCGCAAGGGCCACTTTGAAGATTAGGGTCATCCCAGTACCCTTACTTCAAACCTACTGTATTCCAATCTATTCCTCTCTCTCTTTATCCTCTTTCACTCTCAACTTAATTCCATCCACTTTCCTTTAACTCTGTCATATCTCCCTGACTTTCTCCAGTTCTCAGCATTTAATTTCCTCTCCATCTTTCTCTTTCCATAATGTACTCCTCTCAGTTTTTGTCTCGGATCCTTAAAAGATGTTTCAGCTTTATCTCTCCTCAGCTGAGTCTTACGCTACTTCCCTTTCTATCTGTTTCTCTCACTTTACGTTGACCTGCTGTCTGCCAATATTGTTCCAACTCTTGTCTCTCTGTGATTTCATCCTCCAGGTTCCCCTCTCTCATCAGCTCCAAAACTCTCCTCCTGGACTTTGACTCTGGGACCAGGGGCCTCCACCTGGCTAGCTCTGTAATGAAGGTCCCCCATGTGAACCTCACATGTCGCATTATTTCCAAGTGCCTCCTAATTCTTCTGGGAAATAAATTGAAATATATCTCTACCCCAACCTGGAATGGTAGGATTGCGTGTTCCTTTTAAAAATCTATTAATTTATGGACCTTGTCCTGTATTACCCCCTGTCTACCTTTTCCAGTTTCTCTTTTTATGTTTTATATTTTTTATCAGTGGATGCTATGTCTACTCAGGAGCTCAGATTCCTTTCTCATGGCTTCTCTCACATCTGTGAGCAGGTAAGGGCAGGTAGGAGGAGGGGAGCTGGCGGAGGCCTACCGTAGGAGACATGACGCAGTCTTTGCTCCCATGAAGACTAAACAAAGATCCAACACAGAATCTATGAGTTACATGACAGTTACCTTGTCTGTCCTGGGGCAGTAAGTTGGGTCTCTCTTCTAACCTTCTTACATTATTTCTTTGGAGAGGTGAGTGTTGGGAGCCGAGCTAACTTGGAGAGCTCTAAGATAAGTGGCACTAAACTATTTTAAACACTCAGTATTTTCCAAGAAGGGAGTTTGATTGCGGAGCAGAGAGTTCTGAGTTGTGAGAACTTCATTGTTTTGCAGGATGAGTAATTTGGCTGACCTTGGGTCTTGACTGCTGTTTTCTCATTGCAATGCTATAAGTAGTGTGTTCTAAATAAACTCGGGGCTGCAGTATTTACTGTACGCCCTCCCGACTCTATCTCTTGTCTCTGTCTTTTCTTTAATCCTCATTCCCCCTCTCAGGTACCGTTCATCTCAGCCGGCAGGCTCCGGCAATTTATGATAAAAACTCACAGCAAAGTGGGAATAAAGGCA